TCCTACCCTAAGAGGATTCGAAGATGCCGATGCGGGAGTACTTGACGCTAGGATTGTATGCCTCGATTATAAGTTCTAAGGGGGCGCAAAACAAAACATGAGTGGACCAAGTTGATATGTAAGTAGTAATAAAACAGTTAAACTTTAATGTACTAACCCCTAGGTTTATAAAACTCGTCCAACATAATAGGTAATAGGTTTTTCCGAAAACCCTAGCATGCCATAAAACAATTCATAAAACATATGTCATATATAGTATGCTTAGTAGTGGTGTGAGTATATATATAAGGCATATACATATATATAATATTTCATTCGCCCGAAGGCATATAGAACACTTCTTCATTCATCCGAAGGTTTAACATCACGCGTTCGTTGGCCTGTAGGCGGTATCATTCGCCAGTAGGCACTACATCTCCCAGCCAAACCCAATATAAGTATCTTCCACCCGTAGGCACTACATCTCTCAGCTAAAGCCAATATAAGTATCATTCGACCTGTAGGCCCTTACATCACCCGACCGAAGCCAATATAGATATCATTTGACCCGTAGGCCCCTACATCACTAACCAAAGCCAATATAGATATCAATTGCCCGTAGGCAGAACATATGCCTGTAGGCAGAACATACGATTTTTAATATATATATATATCCTAACCGGAGGTCGGTAGCTACAGCGTCATATCGTAAAACCTGTTCGTAGTATAAAGTCATCAATCATATATACTACGAAGAACGTCAAAATCGATAAAGCATGAATATCATAAAGCGTAAATCTAATTTACTCATAAACGTTTCATAAAATGTAACCATTAAATCATTCTTTTCATGTATGCATTTCTAATTGTAAAATTATGCATTTTCGAAAGGGTCCACTCACCTTACACCGTTGGCGAAGAACCGTGCAAACAAGAGAGGACGGAAATACCATACACAATTGCAGCTAAGCATATAAAGGTACCAATTAATAAAACTCTATCAAAATGATTGAATTTGAGAAAATGAACGTTGGAAATAGATTCAGGACATTGAATTACCGTCAGAGGGGTCCCGGGAAAACTTCGTAAAAGTCAACAAAAGTCAACGCAAGAATATTCCAGAGAATATTAATGAAATATTCCACAAAATATTCCATGGCAGGTTCTGGGCTAGGTTGGTATCTGGGCTTGGCTTCTTTTAGTTGGGCCTAAAGCTTGGGTTTAGGTTTAAAGGGTTTCTGGTCTAGGGCTAAAGGAGTGGACTCGGGCTTGGGTTGGTTACCTGGCCCAAGGGTTAGGGCCAATTAACTGAAATGGGCTTGCGGGTTTGGGTCGGGTCTGACCCGTTTCCATGCTGGGTTGGCTGGGTTTCGGAGAGAAGAAAGCCGAAGCATTCCCAGCTTCGATCAACTCGATTCTCAACCAAACATTGCAACATTATACATCAAAATGAAGCCCAGGTGACAAGGAATTGAGATGTACCTTTGGTTTCCTAGGTCGTGGCCCGACGTGGTCAGAAAATGGCTCGAAAACCATCGGGTCTCACCGGATAATATGGAGAAAATGGTTCTGATTTGTTCCTGTGTTAAAACACTATGAAAAAGCCTCAAACATTACCTAATCACCTTACTAAACCTTATCTAGGAATATTTAGGGGTGAGTTCGACTTGCCTCGTAGTAAAACCATGTACATAGTGACAGTGCATAGTGCCGAGAGGAGAGAGAGTGAGGTCGGAGAGGTGAGGGAGAGAAGTAAGGATCCAGGGGTGGTGCTTGTCTCTATGTATGTAAGAATGTGTGTGTGTGTGAGTTCGTCGAAGAGAGGATAAGAGAGTAGAGGCGAGAGATAGAGGTCAAAGAGTTTAGAGAGGGAGGGAGATATAGTGCACGAGAAAGAAGAGGGAAAGAAGAAGCAAGTGGGCCAGGAGATAAACAAACCAGAGGGGGCCCCACATGGCACACCATTTAAGGCCCAAATAGTAACCCTTTCAAAATATATTTTACATCCCAACGTGAAATTATTAAAATACCCTTTTTTGTCCTATAAATTCATGGACGGGTTATTACATTCAGTGGGTTCAATTCCTTCTACGAGGACATGGCCTTGGAAAGGCAATTGACAGGAGCATATGTAACATCCCACATTGCCCAGGGGAGTGATCCTTATATGTATATTCCCATCCCTACCTAGCATGAGGCCTTTTGGGAGCTCACTGGCTTCGGGTTCCGTAGGAACTCCGAAGTTAAGCGAGAAGAGGGCTAGAGCAATCCCATGATGGGTGACCCACTGGGAAGTTGCTCGTGAGTTCCCAAAAACAAAATCGTGAGGGAATGGTAAGCTCAAAGCGGACAATATCGTGCGACGGTGGTGGAGTCGGGCTCGGGAAGTGATCCGCCCCGAGCCGGGATGTGAAAATTTGGTATCAGAGCCTAACCCTGGTCGTGGTGTGCCGACGAGGACGTCGGGCCCCTAAGAGGGGGTGGATTGTAACATCCCACATCGCCCAGGGGAGTGATCCTTATATGTATATTCCCATCCCTCTAGGCCTTTTGGGAGCTCACTGGCTTCGGGTTCCGTAGGAACTCCGAAGTTAAGCGAGAAGAGGGCTAGAGCAATCCCATGATGGGTGACCCACTGGGAAGTTGCTCGTGAGTTCCGAAAAACAAAACCGTGAGGGAATGGTAAGCCCAAAGCGGACAATATCGTGCTATGGTGGTGGAGTCGGGCCCGGGAAGTGATCCGCCTCGGGCCGGGATGTGACAGCATACACCCCTCAACAAAATGGGTTTAGAATAGAACCATAGTGGAGATGGCAAATCCCATGCTTCAAGAAAAAAGGCATTCTTTACCATTTTTGGGGTTAAGCTATGAACACAGCAATTTACCTACTGAATAGGTGTCCAACAAAATCCTTAAACAAGAGACTCCATTTGAAGCCTTTAGTGGGAGAAACCAGGTGTGAAGCATCTTAGGGTGTTTGGTTCAATATGTTATGCACTCATACTAACACAATTGAAGCACAAAAAATGCAGAAAACAAACAGGCAAGTCTATATTTATGGGTTATCGTAACTGTGAAAAGGGATACATATTGTGCAGTCTAAAGACATCAAAGATGAACATCTCACAAGATGTGATTTTCAATGAAAATGCAAGGTGGAATTGGGAAGATGAAATGGACACTGAGGCTGTAGTACCTATTAGGATTGGCAGAATTGGTAATGAGACAGATGGAGAAGTGCAATCTCAGAATGATACTCCTACATCAAATCAATCTCCTCAACTTCAATTGTTACAATCACCTCAACAATCTGCACCTGAATCTCAAAATGAGGATTCACATCTAACGAATCACTTAATGGGTGAAAACTTGTCACTCAACTCAAATGTAACGCGCTCTCATTCAACTTGAACAAGACGCCCACTCGAACTTGAACGCACGTTCACTTGACTCAAATGGGGATGACAAATTTAGGTCCAAACACATGTAGGTAATTTTTTTCATGGGTTAGGAAACAATTTCCCTAAATCTGGACTTACCAAACATGTAAAAGGCAACACTTTCTCATTCTCAAGTTCTCTTTCCCACATACCAAACATAGGTGTAAAGCTTATTTAATTCTCGCTCAAGTTGTCAACGAGTAATGGATACTCATCACTCACATTTAACGAATAACAAATGCATTAATCTAAAGTTCAACAAATTAAGACGGTAGCTATATAAAGTTTCACGTATGATATCACAATCTTTCTAAGGCTAAAATTCGTAGACCTATCGAACATAAAATACTTATAAAACCTAATAAAGTTGCATCTGTATGAATTCAACTCAGACAAGTCTTGGAACAAATTTAAAACACATGCCAAATTCCTTGTATAACTCCACTGCATTATGAAACCAAAGACTTGGAAGAAACCTGGTAAAATAGATAAACATCTTATTCAAAATTTTAATTGGAGAAGAATATCATGAAAACCATCGTGTGCCATTCCAAGTTATGCCTCCAAGACGTCGGATTTGGGGCTGGCCTGGCCGTACAATATGCATGCCGATGTTTGACTCTCGTTTGAGTAATTGGAGGAGTGAATGTGAGTAAGTATGTATTAGCTTGTTTGAATCAAACAGATTTCTATCCCAATTAGTACTATTGTACTATGGTCTGGTGGTATTCATCATCACTAGTATATCGTTGTATAGAAAAAAGAAGAGAAAATCCATCCATGGATCGAAACACTTTAACCGCACCAGTTGAGAAATTTTGTGAGAACCTAGAAGCAAACATAAAACACGAGCAAAACTGAGCTTGGATGAGTTCATTCAAACAATATGCTCTTTCTCTATGTCCAAATTCGAATATTTCTTTATACCAACAGATTCAGTTATTATTAACAATTTGCTAGGTAACAAAACATTTGTTAGACATTCTGATACAAAAGTTTTTATGTTTTGTGATGATAACAACAGATGGAAAAATCCCTCATAGTGAACACTACTCTTTGTAGGATAAGAACTTATACTATTGGTTTTTCTGATTTGAATTGTAATACATTTCATATATAGGAAAGCCTTATGGGAAGGCATAGTTATACACAATACAAAGAAAGCTTTACACCCTTGTAATCAGATGCAACAGCACACATGCAGCAAGATATAAAGGTGTTTATCGGCAACAGCACACATGCCGTTTGCAGTTTCACATGCAGCAATATATAAAGATGTTTATCGGCAACAGCACACACATACCGTTTGCAGTTTCACAAGCAGCAATATATAAAGATAAATGACCTCCCTGCTGTCCAGGAGTCAGCAATCACATGCAACATTCCTTTCCAGAGTGCACACCCTTGCTGTCTTTCCTTTATGGCAATGATGACTATAGTTGTAATGATGGCAGGTACATACACCCATGCTTGCCGACTAGAACTTCTTCCAATATATACACGATGCATCACCCTTTACAGCAACTTCATTTACAGTATATTCCTCAGATGCAATCATTGTTTGCCTCTCATATTCTCTATCAATATGAAAGTGAACTCACCTTATCCTTCCGCCAGATTTCCTTTTCAAATCTATGCCATATGGACGCCTCTTCACCATCAACTACTCCACATGCACACATATCACAATGTTGTCTCGGACACACAAGAAACTCCTTTAGCCTGGAGACTTGTGCAACGATAGACTCACCAAGCTGTTCGAATCCATAAGAGTATCGGGGACGCTCAGAATCGTCTATAAATGTGCAGTGCGACACATTCAGAATTTCCAAATCCTTCATTTCATTCATTATAAAAACCAAAGCTGTCTTGTGCACCGTTGTGCACTGCAGACTTAAGATCTTGAGCTTGGGAGTGTAGGCAACAATGGCCCTTGCACATACTACGTCAAACTTAGAAGGGCACATAACTTTAAGCTGAGAGATGTTGCAGTAACTTCCAACTAGCTTCATGATTTGAAAAGGAAAATCAATATATGCAACAACAAAGGATTCAAGTCCTACCCAATTCCTGACAGCTGTTTCGAATCCAGTCAATGTAATCAGGTTCCAGGTTGGTAGAACCAGTTGTTTGAGCCTTGGGGTTCTGCAAGGAAGCGGATATCACCATTAGTCCTGGATTCAACGTTATCAGAAACTTTATGTTTCAAAACAAAACGTTTGTTATTATGAATAAAGAGAAATGGAAATGGAAACCAATACCTTTCGGCTGCACATATCAAGTGGTCATCGTTTATGAATAAAGAGAAATGGAAAACCAAGGAAGATAAATTTCCACAACTGAGACGCAAAGCACTCTTCAATACTTTCAGTAGTCTTTCGCTTGATTTATTATCAGACCAAGTAGTCAATCTTCGAGGAGTATTACAAGTGTTAAACTTGAGCAGAGTCAGATCAAGCTTTTCCCAAAGGATTGGATTGCAGCAAGCTGCATTCCAGGATTTACAAACGAAAGAAACAAATATCACATCCAGAAAATTCAAGGCCATAAATATCCTCACAAGGATATTGTAGTCCATATCCGCCCAGTTTCTAACTTTGCATTCATTGTTCCCTGCCATTGTAAAAGAGATTGTACCTACAACCATCAAAGATCAAAACCAGGGACTGTGCATTAATGGAAAGGAATTTAACTCGTGTTCAAAATAGAACTTGAACAAACTATGGAATGCTCTAGCTTAGGAAACAAGTTTTAACACCATTACATTTTTGGAATGTGACCTTCCTATACCAATGCCAATGTCTTGCTGATTTTACAGATAATTAAATGTTGGGAAACTTAGGAAGTTGAAACGTTGTTTATGTGTATGGCATTTAGACATGAAATTTTTATAAGAAATATCAGATACAGAAAAAAATGGATCAGAACCATTTAGTAATTTAGAATTTAGAGATGAAATTTCTGTGTGCAGCATGATAACAAAGATCCTCATAGACAATCACTCTGGAACAGGGAATGTTCTTAACTAGTTTGAGTTAACGATCGCACCTATGTTTTCAGTGTTTTTACTTCTGGGACAAAAAGAAAAAAAAAACTTTAAATGCAAAGTGGGGTTGAGTAGAGAAATGCATTGCTTCCATTTACCTGATTCCAGACACCAAAATGAGCTTTCTGAGAAAACTAGAGTTTGAAATTGCAAAAGTTATAAGTAAGGATGTCAAAAAAATGACGCCCTCCCTAATAACTCTTAACCTAATGGATTGTACTTGAAATGCAGATGAATGCTCAAACCGATATTGATGACTTTGAAATGCACATCAAGTTCGCTAACCATTTAAAGCAAACAAGTTTCACTCAAAGCCCTAGTAGTTTATGTTATACGTTACACATAACGACATTCAATATTCTTACAATGACTTTAAAAAGCACATAGTATCTTTCGGAACAGTTAGGGCAACAGTCAAACACGAGTACGTGGACTGTTTCATTCAGTATTCTTACAAATGACATCCGCTAAAATGCCAACTATTATGAGGTCAACCATTAATCTGAGTACAAGAAAATCAGGAAATGCAGTAAGCATACACATGATTCAGGAGACAGTTTTCTGATCACTTTCTCTTTTCTTTGAAGAACAAACATAAGAATATAAATAGAATCAGGCCACAGATTTCACACTGTGACGCCATGTATGTATCTATTCGTCAAACATTGTAACATATAAGTTGTCAACGATACTATCATTGTCAACAAACCTTCAAGAACATTGTAAACAAATCAAGAGATAGATTTGGAATTTGCAAACAACGTCATCTTATAAGATGCTGCATTAATGTCCGAAACATTCTGTTAGAAAATATCTGCATCTTTGTAAACATTCAATGACTAAATTGAAACTTTGATCTTTCCTAAACCTACAAAGAAACTTCATTAGACACCATCAATGAACTCCATTCAAATTTCAAATGCGACTACCCCAATTAGAAATTCGAATATTCACATTGACGTCATTCAAACAGTATATACGAATCAAGAATCCGTTAAAACAAATCAACCTCTGCATTAACCACCTTATGTTCATACATATGAGTACTTAACAGAAAATAAGCTAATTAAGAAAGTATTTATTATCCAACTTATGTGATATTTGTATAAGAAATTCGAACAAGCTGAAACTGGACTTTTCCTACTTCTAAGTCAGATAAAACTTAAGGTTTTGGATTGGGACAATTGTGATCATAATTTTTGATAAGGAAAAACAAAGGGCATCAGCCATTTAAACTGAAAAGATAACCCTGCAATGTTTGCAACCTCTAAATCTAAGTTTGTTTTTCCCTGCCGAAAATTTCCCTCTTCAAACTCTGATCTGCTTTTAGATTGTGCTTTACCAGAGAGGATAATTAAAAATCTAACATGCAGATTTCGTTAGTGAAGGAATTACAAAATACAAGAACTTTTTAACTTTTGATCAAATCTCCACCGCATATCATAAAATCAACCCCAAACGTATTTAAGCAAAAATAAACAGAGAGAGAGAGAGGAGAGAGAGAGAGAGAGAGAGAGAGAGAGAGAGAGAGAGAGAGAGAGAGCAGATGCTGCTTGACTTACCTCAACGATAGCTTGTAAATCCAGAGGTTGATCAACAGAAATGTATCTGCATCAAATTTCACATCTCTTTTCAGCTTAAATTTCAAAGTTACAAGAAAGAAAGACCACACCTACAAGACTTCAATTTTCAAGAAAAAAAATTACTCGAACCACATATTTCTTCTATTTTTTCCAACAACACCAAGAGGAAACTTCACAAATTAATTCAAGTTCAGAGCTTACCTCGTCCCTGGGTTCTGTTTGTGTTGCTCTTAAAACTTTGTGATGAGACAGGCTCTTATAGACTTTGTAACGGCAATGTAAACTCACGCTTCCCTTCAAGTAACTTCTGTTGTACATGCAGTCTAACATCTGTATATTAGAATCCATCTTTTTCACATGGGGCCCCACGGATTTTTGTTAGTTTCTTCCTACATTTATTACTTTTCTTTCTTTGATCACTATATCTGAGAGATTGAGGCCTACCTTAAACATTTAAACAAAAAATTAACCCATTCTCTCTCTCTCTCTCTCTCTCTCTCTCTCTCTCTCTCTCTCTCTCTCGGTTATATATATCAGTATTTCCATAAGCCTGATAAATCTCGTGTTGGTGAAATTAACCCAAAATTTAGATCCTCCTTCAAAGCAAGTGGAACCAAAAGAAATCACGAATACCTTGTCAAGTTCCCGGTAAGTAGTCAAACACCGCCGAACCAAACCATTCAAAACATGTTTTCTCAATGCTTCGCACCATGCCGACTGCCTAAAAATCTACTCGGAGGCACAGCCCCTTGCATGCAGCGATGGCACCAAGGCCCCCTGAAAGTCGGCTCTGGCTACCAGAGGAGTGAAGAAGCCCCACCGATTTAGGCTGGGAATGGTGGCGCTGCAGAGAAAGATCAGGCAGTACCAGAAGAGCACCGAGCTGCTGATCCGCAAGCTCTCTTTCCAGAGGCTTGTCAAGGAGATTGCTGTGTAGCCATAACCTCCAATATACAGACTTATAAGAGGTGGGTATCACTTGTGCAATATAAAAACTGATTCATCCGTCTTTTTTCATCCCGTCTGATAACTAGGAGAGATTTTTCTCTGTCATCAAAACACAGGCCTCATAATATAAGTGGCAAAAAGATATATTTTTCAGTGTCTTTCCAAGTGTTATGAGTCTTATGACACATAATGTACCGGTCTGTGTTTTAGATGCACTGAGGATTTTCTCCATAGCTAGTTTAACAACAACCAGACCTTGTGTCTCCTTTTCCTAGTAAAATTTGGCCTTTGGGTATGCAGGGCCTTAGGGTTTGATGCCTGCCTGCCTATATAACTCACACCCTTCAGCTTTATAGGTAAACTATTGAAATTTTGCATGGTGGATTTTAGACTGTGTTCAAAGAGGCTTTAGACACGACTTGTAATACAATGTTTGAAAAGGTTTTAGACACGACTGGTAATACAGTGTTCGAATAGGCTTTAAACATGATTGTTCTTCAAAAGAGAGGGAAAACATATTCATTTATAGAGTTAATTATGGTTAAAAGGGCACGTCCAACTAGAGTATAGCAAACGACCTGTCTGTTGTTGACCGAGTAAGCCAATTGCCTGATGCGCTTCTTGCTAGGATCGTGTCTCTCTTGTCACTAAATGAAGCAGGAGCTACTATTATCCGTTGTAAACGACGGTGATATATATGGGCGTCAATTATGAATCTCTAATGTGACGATGAAATTTTGGTAAACCATTTATTTGACCTAAAACAAGAAAGCAAGAATTGGAAGTGGCTAAATATTGCAATATGGTGACTAATGTAGCGGAACATCATAGAGGCCCTCAAACAATGCTTGGTTTGCTTTGATGGAACAGATCCTAGGTGTACCAGCTGTCCATAAAGAAATGGATTCAAATTTAATGTTCGGATTGCTTGAGGTGAACTTCTTTGTTTTCACTTTGTCGTGTTGGATTAATTACGTGAGTGACTTACCCCTTATTTGGTTTTCAGATCTACGACGCGAATCATATCTATGTTCGTAAATCTCAAGCATTAGGAATTAAACCCTGAAAAGGATTACAATTGCTCTCTTCTTCAATAAACTTTTTTCATTCAGTCATGTCCTCACTTGCAAGAACTTGTGCCGAAGGTTATATTACTATGTTGTAGATTACAACCGATATTACTACTATATCGTTAAAGGTATATAATATTCACTGAAAGTACGTAGCTAGTTTCCTTAATACAGTTTTCATCGTGTTTACTCAAGAAGAGAGAAATAAAACCCAAACAAGCTGCGAATTCCATCATAACCTCAGGGAAGTGGAGGTATATGGGTACTACAGCGGCCCAGATGATTCTAAACTAGTACATGATAGAGAATGTTGTTGCACTAGAAAAATGTGTCATGCGTCCTATAGAAGACTGGTACAATATGCTGGCCAAAGAGTATTGAAGTACTTAAAGGAAATTGCCTTCAACAACAGATCAATTGACAATATTCTACCTAGTTCAAGCAGCAACAAGTGGATAAACCCTTTTCCAGTGTTTTAAACTGGGTTTTTTAATCTTGTTTATATGATTCTTAGTGGATAAATCACCATAAATATCTGCTTTCTATTAAGAAAAAGTGATTCTTCCCCTTCTAGTATTGGAACAAATAACTCACTAAATTCAAGGTTTAATGAACAAATTAATAGTAGCAAATTGAGTGATCGATGGCTTGAAGGTTCAATTTAATACTACTTCATATTAGTGGAACGCATAATAAACGTTGCAAGTATACATAATATATGATCGCAGATTGCCCTCATAGAAATATGTAAATCAGATTAATCACTGTGATGGGTGGTTAATTCTCCTTAATTTAGAAAATCTTGTGAAAAACATAGCAGATGCCGAGTAGTATGCGGATATTAGCAGGAGAGCTGGAGATGATAAACATATAGAAGTGAAAGAGAGAACAATACACACATCAAAATGATCAAGAACTAAATAAGGAAGAGTAGGTGTTAGAGCAGTTATGTTTTTATTTAAATATTTAAATA